CGTATCAGTAACTTCATGCTTAATTTCTCAGGCTGTAAGGGTGGCTTTTATTATTCATCCACTTGGTGAGTTAAGGCTTTTATTCCAAAACACCAGAAGGTTGGAGAGAATGGAGGCAAATACGTGGCTACTTTAAAACATCTAGGTAAATGCCGGATAATCCTCCCGCTGTAAGTGAGATTTCAAACAAGGAATGAGTCTCCTTTGATAGAAAAGCTCTGCTTATTGCCCTCAACAAGAGAATTGTACTCTGTCAGCTGTCTGGAACCGGCATTGATAACAAGCGGCTAATTCTCGCAGAGACCCCGCCGTTCCGTGTTTCTGGTTATCCTCACCAGAATGAAAGGAATTTGTTCTTTATTATTTGTAAGACATACCTAGTTAAATCATTTGAAGGGGTTAATCCTATTTGATTCACTTGTTTTATTTCTCTAATAACCAACTAGTAAAGGCGTGCTGGTCAGGGTAGGCATTCTTGACTGGCATTTTACAGATGGTTATCTGATCTGTGAAACCAGGAACCAAACAGGCCAAACGCCCTGTACCGTGGTACCAGAGGTGCGCCCAGGGTTTTGGGGGAACACCAAGGGGAACTGGCTCCCCAAAAGCAGCAGACAGGAGAGATTTCCTGCAAAAGGCATCCTCCTGGGCCAAGGGTCTCCTGTAGGCTGAAATCAGACTTTATCATTCCTCACTGGAAATTTCCATTAGAAACTGAACCTGTTACCATGTACACTGGACCATGCATAGAGCTGACATCACTACAGATCATTCTTGCTTTCACCTCCCACAGACATTTTGAACTAATAAAGCTTACTTGGTCTGTTCCGTTGACATTATTAATCCTTCTGCTTATTTTTAATCCCATATATAATCTACAGACTAGAAGACAGGAATAATGAAAGCCCTTTAAAGCATAACAATTTAGTTTGCCTCCGCCCCTGCAAATGTGGGAGCCCAGAGAAGGAAGCTTTTGGATAAGAGTTTCTGCTTTCCCCTCCAGGAGGTCCGAGGCATTCCAAGGCTGTGGTCCACACTCAGGCCAGACAGAGAGAACCCAGTGGAGAGGAAGCACTGCTCCGGGGTGGAGAGAGACAGCTTGTGCACGTGTATGTGGTACACATACTCCCACTGTGGCCCGTTTCAAGCTACCAACGTGAAGTCACTGAGCGTGGAGCTAAAAAACACAGAGGCAGACAAGACTCAAGAGACCGAAGTGACCTCCCAAGCATAGGCAGCAGTAAAATGTACTAAAACCGTTAGGAAGCAACCTGTTTTGAGTATGTTTTTAACTGAAGTATAGTTGATTTACAACATTGTTAATTTCAGGTGTACAGCAAAATGATTCGGTTTTATATATGTATTGTTTCGAGTACTTACACCTTTGTTCTAATATCACTTTTATTCATTGCACGTTTATACAGGATAATTTAATTTTTAATAATGACTGCGTTGAACACCTCGTTCACAGTATTCCTGAGATTTATCGATCGGCCTTCTCGAGCCGCCAGACCTCCAGTACACACTTCTCCTGGCCCGCGAAAATCATTAATTAGAGGCGCCTAAGTGGAGAAGAGCAGGGAGTGGACGAAAGGCAGAGCGACCCTGTCCTGGGCTTTCGGTCCTCACTGCCCCCCCATCACCCTATGCTCTCCTTACCTGAGGCAGAGGTGGATTCCTGGGGGCCACCAGTAAGCCCATCCTTACAGGCAACCATGGGTATTTGCCACATTATCTCCACCCCATACCTTCCGATTTTATTCCCAGCCACCAGAGCGAGTATCTGGTTTGCCTCAACGCGCCCCACCCCGCACCAAGTTTCTGTCTCCATGTGCTCCCGCCAGCCCTGGATCACAACAAGAAGCCCACCATCTCCCCAGCTTCTGACAACAGTGTCCCAAACCTGAGCAGAACTGCCTGCTCTCATCATCCCTCTCCTCACATTCAAGGCATCATTAACTACTGCCATTTCCATAGCGATTTTAACAAAATTATATGTCGGGCATGGGCTGGGCACCAAGGAACACATACACACTTCCTTTCCTCAAAGATCATTTTTGTCAAGTAAGCCTGACCTGCCAACAGAACAAGAAGAGAATAACAAGCCATCCAAATCAGCCGTCAAAACGTGTGGACGTTCATCCTCAGTTATATTCCTTCTGCTATAATTAGCAGCCGTGGCCTCGGAGACCTAGGCATCTTCCCTAAAGCTGCCCCACCCCCGACCCCTGCCAGGAGAAAGGCTGCCATTACTTCCATGGCCAGGTGTCAGGACCCTGCCTCCCTAATTAACAGTTGGGCGATGTGTGCTGGCAAGTCGTTCAACTAAAACCGAAACGATGACTCTGCGCCTTTTATTCCCTCGAGAAGTGTGTGTGGGGTCCTCCCAGTAGGGCTACAGGAAGGGGGTAAGGTCAGACACTGCCCCCTCTTGGCGAGCCGGGCACGTGCACTAGCGGGCCCCAAGGACGTGGGCAGCCCGTGAAGATGTCAAATGAATCAACACACCCTGCCTGCTCCATTCCACAGCACGAGCCCCGCCATCATCACACCCCAGATGCACACGATTAATATTTAAACCATCACATGAGCCAACGGGTACAAATCCAAGACTTCTCGGCTAGACTGACCCACTGAAACAGTAAAATCCCCTCCATACCCTGGGGTTGGGCATCATTTTTACAAACTGAAAGGTACCCCAAATGCATCCTTCAATCTTGTCAGGGACAACTAAGGAACAGTTATAAAAGAATGCCGCAACGCCAACAGGCAGTGAGTGAGTGGAGATTAACCCTAGTCTGGTTATTACAACGGGGTAGCTGGAACTATCCAGCCCCTGCCTGCAAAGTGAAGGATTCTAAAGACACCT